GATTATGGATCCAATCCGGGTACAGAACATGGAAATCTTGTTTAGAAGACATGTCCAAATTCTTCCTTCCTCCAACCATTTCTAACAACAACATTCCATAACTATAGATATCAAACTCACTACTACAAGATGTATATTCTATATCAGTTCTCTAAAGTCATCTACATCGGTTCTAAAACCGATGTAGAATAGAGCGATGTAGAAAATGTATACATTTTTACATCGATTCTGAAAACCGATGTAAATTAATTAAGCATAAATCTACATCGGTTCTCTAGACAACCGATGTAGATTTAAGCATAAATCTACATCGGTTCTCTGGGAGAGCATGAAGTTTAGGGTTTGGTGGATGGGGGAGAGGGATTGGGAGTGGGATTGGTGGGAGAGGAGGATGTGGAAGGTGGAGCGGTCGGGGGAGAAGGAGGGGAGGGTTTGGGTGATGTGGCGGAGGAAGGCGAGGGAGTCGGAGGGCGAGGCGGCGACGGCGGCGTAGGAGTGGAGTGTAGACACCCAATTTCGTTCAGGGGCATACAAACAAGGGAATGGACCTCTGTTATGAAGGGAAGGAGCTCCCGAAGCATGCAAACAACAAGATAGGACTTTAGAAAGCCCAAATAAGCTAATTTTAGAAGACTGGAACGGGCTGTTCCAAAACCGGAACGGGCCGTTCCAAGTTCCTAAAAGGACCAATAACCCTAATTTGGAACAGGCTATTCCTAAATTGGAACGCGCCGTTCCAAGATTGGAACGGGCCGTTCCAAACTCTTCAAAAGAGGGCTAAAACTTTAACTGGAACAGGTCATTCCTAAACTGGAACGGGTCGTTCCAAGTTATAAAAAGAGCCTAAAGATCCTTGTTTGGAACACCTGTTCCAGTATACCAAATGACACGTTAATCTTATATCTGGAACGGGCCGTTCCAATTTTTGAATGGGTCGTTCCAGTTACAAAATTTACACGTAACGGCCATATCTAGAACAGGCCGTTCCGATTTTGGAACGGGCTGTTCTGGACCTTTTTTGAAGTCTATAAATAGACTGCTTGGGCTCATTTCTCAAGACTCCAACATTTTGTTCAGACTCCTTACACTACAAGAAAATGACGATTTTGCGACGATTATATGGCCTACATTGCGACGGTTAGAACTGCCGCAAAGACAACATTGCGACGGTTTGGGAACCGTCGCAGAATTGTCCATCACCAGGAAATTTTGCGACGGTTATCAGAACCGTTGCACAAACCGTCGCAAAATTGGAATTGCGACCGTTTCATCAACTGTCGCACCAAATGCCTCTATATTAACATTGCGACCCTTTAATCAACTGTCGCACCAACTGCCTCTAAATTAATATTACAACCCTTTTTTTACCCGTCG